AATTCTCAAAATAATCTTTTGAGGTTGTATTATGTTAATTTTATAGATAAAAAACTGATTCTCAAAGGTTTTAAATATCTTCCCCATACTGGTAAGTGGTAGTGCCAAAATTTGAACTCAGGGCTAACTGGCTCACGCTCAACCATTATGCAGCATTGCCTCTTGAACCTCCTCCTCCTCTTTATCGCAGCAAAATCACCATCGTCTCAGTTTCCAAATAGGAAGGCCATCTAACTTAAGGCAGCTTGTTGAGATTCCTGCCACTAGATTCTGATGAATCTTTTTTGAAGTCTTTTTCTGAGGTTCTTGAGTTCATCTTGTTAAACATTTAACCTTATTTATTAACTGCAGTTTTCTGTTTTCCTGGTGTTTATTCTATCATATGTATGAATATATTGTTCATTCATTCGGCGACTTTTGGAGTGCCTGGCATTCTGGGGTTAGTGTGAGTATACAGATATGCTTTCCAAAAAGTTACAGACCACTGGAAAATCACAAACATTAAACCGTGTGGTACAGTCTGAAAGAACAGTATAATCTAGAGCTGTGCTCCTCCCTCCTTCAAGGCCCAGCTCCTGTATTTTCACCATGCCAGCCTTACTTGCTGAGTTTCTGTTTTTCTCCTTTACTCTCTCACACTGTCACACTCATAACAGTTCTGACACCAAACGTGTTTTCCTACACCAAGCAAGTCTCAGTGACACCAGGTGGGTGTCTATAATTTAACTGAATTCTGACACTATCTGGAAACAGCGTCAGATCCCACAGGTTAAGGGCTCAGCCCCACAAGACTGCCACCTACTTCAGATGTCTATTGCAAGTAGCAAGTCCCCAGGTTACTCACAACCTTTGTCTGACTTGGCTACCAATTGGAGTTCCCATGACCCCCCACCCCACCCCACCCCCCGTCCCGGATTCAATTATTTGCCAGAACAGCTCACAGAACTCAGGGAAACATGTCTACCAGTTTATTATGTAATAAAGGATATGATAAAGGATACAGGTGAGCAGCCAGACAAAGAGATACACAGGGTGAAGTCTGGAATAGTCCCAAGCACGGGAGCTTCTGTCCCTGTGGAGTTGGGGTGTACCACTCTCTTGGCACATAGACATGTTCACCAGCCCAGAGGCTCTCTGAACCCTGTACTTTTGGAATTTTTATGGAGGTTTCATCACGTAGGCATGATTGATGATTAATCCATTTCCAGGCCCTCTCTCCTCTCTGGAAAATGGGGGTAGGGCTGAAAATCTCAAGCTTCTAATCATGGCTTGGTCTTTCTGGTAACTCGCCCCCGTCCAGGAGCCCACCAAGAGTCACCTCATTAGAAGAGACACTGCTGTCACCCAGTAAATTCTAAGGGGTTAGGAATTCTGTGTCAGGAATCACTGTCAAAGACCAAATATTAGAACAACAGATTATCCTAGTGCTCATATCACTTAAAAAATTACAGGGGGTTCAGGAGCTCTGCATCAGGAGCTAGGATCCAAGATTAAATGTTAGAACAAAAAATTCTAGCACCCCTGTGTACAAGGGTTTTAAAGCTGTGTGTCAGGAAACTGGGGCAAAGACCAATATATATACTTGTTTCACACTTGTCGTTTTCTGAACTTGCCTTGGGCGCTCTCAGTTTCAAGGCTGTGCTCATACTAGTCCTTATGCCTGAAATTTCCTTTCATCCTTGTCATCTTTAAAGAGCAGCTTAAATTCAGCTTCTTTAAAAAGAGAAGTTACCGGGCTTCCCTGGTGGTGCAGTGGTTGAGAGTCCACCTGCTGATGCAGGGGACACAGGTTCGTGCCCCGGTCCGGGAAGATCCCACATACTGGGCCCGTAAGCCATGGCCGCTGAGCCTGCACATCCGAAGCCTGTGCTCCGCAACGGGAGAGGCCACAACAGTGAGAGGCCCGCGTACTGCAAAAAAAAAAAAAGTTACCACAGTAAGAATTCCTCCCCTTTATAATTGCATATAGCAATTTTTATACCAGAATTAAAGTCATTTATGAATATGTTTATCTCTCACTAGGTTGTGACCCTTGGGAGATACGGACTGCATCTCTGATTTTTTTCACTTTTTATTTTGAAACAATTATAGACTCATGAGAAGTCACAAAAAGAGTACAAAGAGTTCTGTATGTGCTTCACCCAGCTTCCACTCAGAAGTGACATCTTATGTAGCCATAGTACAGTATCAAAACCAGAAAGTCAACAGTACTGTCAGTCTACAGACCTCATTCAGTTTTCACCATTCATCTTTGATTTTTAAAATAACAAAGTAATGCTGTAGAAAATGAAAATTATGGAAAAGCACAAGAAGAAAAATCATAATACCGCTATCAGGTTATAACTACTGTTAACACATTGTGAGATTTTTCTGTGTACCTTTCACTAAATAGCTGTTTTTATTTGTTTGCTTTTATAAGATGGGATTATGTAATACCTATTTTATAACCTTTTTTTGTGTGTGTGTGTGGTATGCGGGCCTCTCACTGTTGTGGCCTCTCCTGTCGCGGAGCACAGGCTCCGGACGCGCAGGCCCAGTGGCCACAGCTCATGGGCCCAGCCGCTCCGCGGCATGTGGGATCCTCCCAGACCGGGGCACGAACCCGTCTCCCCTGCACTGGCAGGTGGACTCCCAACCACTGTGCCACCAGGGAAGCCCCCTATTTTATAACCTTTAAAAATCTGTACTCTTAAATGGATCTAGAAACTCAATCTTAAAGAGAATTGATGTAAGGTAAAAATCCTGAGAGTGTATACACTGTTTTCCTGATATCCTCAGAAGGGATGGGATCACCAAAGAAGGTAGCTCAGTGCAGCTGGGGCTCAGCCCCTGAGGAGGGAGAAGGAAGTATGCTCAGAGGCAGCTACTGTAAAGAAAAGGGCAGGGCTGTCTGCAGGGCTGTGACTGAGAGGTGACACCTGCTGGATAGTCCGGTTGAAATTATATAGCGTGAATTCAGGAAATCAGAGTAAGTTGTTGGAAACAGGAAAAGATTGATGGGAAAAGAGAATAATAGTTCATCAGAAGACTGAGTCTTTATCTTATTTTCTGTCTCTAGGAGAGAAGCCTTTCCTTTGTGAAGCCCAAGGATGTGGCCGTTCCTTTGCTGAGTATTCTAGTCTTCGAAAACATTTGGTCGTTCATTCAGGTACTAGAACCTGTGCCATTCATAGATTTCAGGGAAGATGGAGAGCCAAAAGGGTAAAAGGTTAGGGTAGTGGTATAAAGAGATCTAAAGAGAAACAAACTGTTCACCATAAAGTTTCCTCCCTATCCTGACAGAATCAGAAATCAAGGCCCTTGATGCTTGCATTCAAAGGGTCATATAATCAAGGAGAAAATATCTAATTATTATTATTTTCAGCTGAGCCATTGAACTGCTTTCTAATTGAGACCTTTTTCTGAGGGAATCAACGAATTTATTTGGCACTACACTGGGTACTTTATAAGTTACATCAGATATGGTCCATGGAGTTATTCAGAGCAGGCAGAAGTGAACTTGAAGTGGAGAGAGATTCTAAAATGGAATCTGGTAATTGTTCAAATGGCTAGCCATGGGGAGCAAAGGGAAGCCAGAATGGGAGGAGTGGGGAGAAGGAACTAGAAGTTATTTATAATGAAGACAGCAAAACCGTTCAGTGGGAGCAAGGGAGTTGGAGAGGTATAATCAGTCAGGGATGTGAATTTCAGAGCTGAGATCCTAGGGGTAGAGCAGTTTTTTAATATGATGACAGCTTCTAAGCAGAGATAGCAAACTGATAGCCTATGGGTTAGATGTGGACTTCCAGATGTGTTTTGCTTGGCTTGTAGAGTGTTTTCATTTTACTGTTCTTTATTATGTAAAATTTTGTCAAACATACATAAAAGTAGAGAAAAATACTTTTTTACATAACAGTAATGCTGTTATCATATCTATCAAAATTAACAATAACTCCTTGGTTTTATCTGAGATTCACTCCATGTTTAATTTTTTTCCAATTGTCTCAAAAATGTCTTTTAAAGTGCCTTTGTTTAAATCAGGATCCAACAAGGTCCACTCGTTGCACTTGGTTAGTAAGTCTTCTTGAATCTAGATCTATCTGTACTTTTTGTTTTTCATGCTATAGACTTATTGCACAACAGAGTCAGTTGGTCCTGTAGCTAATCCCACGTTCTGAATTTGTTGGTTTGCCTCCTTTTCTGTCATTTAACTTGTTCCCCTATATTTCCTAAAAGCTTCAAAGGTTCAAAGATTTTGGCAAGGTTATGTTATAGGTGGTCGTGTTTCATTTTGCATCACATCAGGAGGCATACAGAGCCTAGTTGTCAAAATTGATCAGTTGGTTCAGGTGGTAACACCCTGATCCCCACATTGTAATGTTCCCTAGCAGCCATATGGTTTCATCTCTGAATGATGCCTGAATTCATTATTTCAGCAGGGTTGTAAAATGTTATTTTTCTAATTCTATTATTCATTCACATTTGTTAGCCAGAATTCTTCTGTATAATGGGTCTCTATCAACTAGGGCTATTTGGTAATTTGTACACAAAAGGCAGGATAAATGTGTAATTCTTTTAACTGTGAGTTTTCAGAATAAGAAATTGGTACTTTGGTTACTTCTAGTAGTGTCATTTTCACTGCTTTTTTTCTCTCTCTCTCTCTCTCATTAGTATTATCTTGAATTCATGTGTTTCTACATATTCACTGTATTTCAATCCATTATAGTTATTTTTTAACAGCTTTTGGACCTATTAATGCACATACCTTAAAGTTCACCCATTGTAAGTATACACATCAGTGATTTTTAGAAAATATATAGGATTGTACAATCACCACCACAATCCAGTTTTAGAACACTTGCATCATACCAAAAGTTCCTTTGTGCCCCTTTGCTGTCAGTTCCTGCTCCCACCCCCAGATCCAGGCAGTCATTGACCAGCTTTCTGTCTCTCTATATTCTGCCTCTTCTGGAAATTTTCTGGTCATTTCACTTAGTTTTGCTATCTACTAGTCCCCTGTAGGCATAAGGGTTTTTTTTGTTTTTGTTCTTTGGCATAAGTTTTTGACCCCGCTCTAAGTGTGGTTGTCTGGGTAGGTGGGATAGAAGTTGAGGGTTTCAGACTCGAGGACCTAAGGGATAGTTCAGATCATTGTGTAGAAGAACCACCAGTGTGAACATTGAAGACTGGGAGTTGTGGCAGGAAACGGGATAAAGGTATATTATGAATCCAGGGTTGGAATCCTTGAGGGTAGTGCATGTCCTTGAGGTCCATGGAAGACTGTATCTGAAAAGGGAAGTAAATATTCTGTGTCTACCATGATCTTATACCAGAGAAGTTGTTTTGTGGAAGCAGCAGTACAGTGGGTCTGGAGAGTACTGGAGGCTGGGAGCAGTGAGTGTGCTAAGCCCTCCTGGTGTACTTTCCAGCCTTCCCCTGTGTACTGAAGGTTGAGAGGCTGGGGGAAGGTGCGGCATGGGAGAAGGAGTAGCCTCTTAATGTTTAGTTTAACATCCTCTGGGCTTCTCCATCTAGGGCTTGAGTCCATTCTCTTGCTGTCAGAAATGTACCCTGTCTTTTTGGCTCCCCTGTCTTAACCGGGTCTGTGTTTCAGGAGAGAAGCCACATCAGTGTCAAGTCTGTGGGAAGACCTTCTCTCAGAGTGGGAGCAGGAATGTGCACATGAGAAAGCATCACTTGCAGATGGGAGCAGCTGGGAGTCAAGAGCAGGAACAAACTGGTAAGGAGAAGAGGGTATAGTGGAGGGCTATATTTTGGGGGTTCAAAAAGCCAAATAACTGGCCTGTCTGATGTGGAAATTTTCTGATTCTATTTTGGGTAGAGAGATTGGTCTAATTTGATGGACTAGTGGTTTCCAAATGTAGCTGTACAGTAAAATCGTTTGCAAGCTTTTAAAACATATATTGTGTATTGCTTGTCCACCCCTCCCCCCCCCAGCAAAACAAAACAACCTGATAAATGAGATTACTTGGTAGTAAAATCCTGGAGTCTATAATTTTGAAAGTTCCTCTAGTGAGTTTGATGGTAACTGGTGCTGATCCATGAACCATCATTTGAGTGTCACTGTGATGAAGATTTCTGTATGACAAGAGTTTAAGCATTTTCTTACTTATCAGTCATGACTCCCTTTTTACCCTAGCTTAAATTTGATAATACGTTTTTATTATTATTCCTTTCCATGTCTTTCCTTAATCAATTATTTTATTCTAAATACTCCTTTCTAAGGATGCACCCATCCCATTTTATATGTTTGTTATCCAGATGCTGATCATAAGCAAGGGTATTTATCCATGAGGCTCAAACTCTTCCCTTCTAGGTTTATTTTTGCTTCCCAAAAGTAAGTGAAATAGAGGAGGTGGCATCCAAAATACAGGTTAACTTTTAGTTCTGAAAAAAAAGCCAGCTTCTCGTGAAGGAAAATGGGGACCAGGCACAGCCTTGACTGCTGTATGTCTCTCACATCCTATTCTCTGTGCAGCTGAGCCACTAATGGGCAGTAGTTTGCTTGAAGAGGCTTCAGTAACCAGTAAAAACCTGGTGTCTATGAATTCTCAGCCCAGCCTTGGTGGAGAGTCCTTGAACCTACCAAATACCAATTCTATCCTAGGAGTTGATGATGGTAAGACTTTCAACTCTCCTTTATTTGGGGAAAATGGGCTGCAACTAGGGACTAAGGAATGGGGTTTTCTCCAAAATGGAGGTTTTAATTAATTTCATTTCTTGTGAGTAGAAATGGTATGATTGAGTAGCATTTGTGTTGTCTCTGGAGTGGATAAGTGAATATTTTAAAAAGTTTTTTCATTGAAAAGATAATGTTACAAAAGAATAAAAAGTTTTAAGAAGAAAATTATCCATAATCCTAGCATCCTAGCCCAACTGTTTCTATCTTTCCTATTGCAGTTATGGAAGAACTTAACTTATAAAATATTTAAACAGAACATAACCAGGTTTTACAGAGGAGAATTAAAGCAATTTCTCCATACCTTCAAAAGCCATATCTTCTGGAGAAAAGAAAGGGCTCTCTAGGAAACAGTTGCTCCTCTCTGGTATAGAAATTTCACCCAAGTTACACAGGCCAGGCCCTCTTCTCTGAAAAACTTAACAGGTGAGGTCAGCATGCATTTATTCAGTGCCTACTGTGTACCTGGCACCATGGGAAAGAAAAGTAGAAGATAGGGACCTTAAAATCTAGTTCAGAAGTCAAAACTTACATATGGGAAACAACATTGAGTGAGTAGAAGATAGTGTATAAGCAAACGTTAAGTTATGTGGTATCCTGGAAGAGCAATATAAGCTAGAAAGCCCCTAGAAGGTACTCTTAATTTATTTGAGAGCTAAGTGGTTTATGTGTAAGCAATTTCCAGAAGATTTTCGTGGTGATTCTGCTGATGAACATTTAATAAGTCTGAGATCCTTTGTTTTCGTTACTCATATCCCAGACAGTCAGTTTTGGGTATAAAGACCATGTTTGTGTAACTTATATCTGGAGCCTACAAGGCCCAGAGTGTGCTTCCACAATAAGCCTCTTCTGTTTCATAAATGATACTAAGGAGGAAAGTCTCAAGGGAGGAAGAGACAGTGAGAAGGAACTTTGGAGCCAGGTTTAAGCTCTTGACTAGCACGTATTGCACTGTTTCCATCACTGGTGACTGCTTTAAGCGTTGGCTCTGGTTCCCTGATTCATAAGCAATTTTTAATCCAGTTAATAGTGCTAAAGCCATATTACTCTAAATTGGCATACTGAAAAATGGTCAGCTGTTATATCAAGATTTCTTGCCTTTTCTTCCCATCCCCCTTTTGTAATACTTTCCAAATTCACTGATAGTGATTATCAGGCAGGAATTAATTTGGAAGAAACACAGGAATGTGGGATTCAGTTTTTCAGGGAACAGTTTTAAGCGTTCTTAATGAGAGACTTGATAATGAAGGTAGGTAGGTAGATCTGTGGATTCACTTTGCATTGAAACATTTTTCTGCTGTTTCAGAGGTGCTTGCTGAAGGATCCCCACGTCCTCTGTCTTCAGTGCCTGATGTGACGCATCATTTGGTGACCATGCAGTCAGGGAGGCAGTCATATGAGGTGTCTGTCTTAACTGCCGTAAATCCACAGGAGGTAAAACTGTCTCTTGCCCTTACTTTGTTTTGTGGAGATTAATGTGGAGAATGATTGGGAATCTATTTCAGAGGATCTGAAAAAATTCTCCAATTCCCCTTTCCTGGAGACTTAGATTAGAATATCTTACCTTAAGCTAAGCATGAGTCCAGGTTTGAAAGGAACCTGAGTATTAGGGTCTGCTGAATTGGGAGATTGGTCATTCACAGCTGGGACTCTGAGCTCTAGTTTCCTTGATACATATGCCCTAATTAATGAGATCCGCTCCTCCTGTTCTTGCCTCACTTGTGATGAAGATGCTGCTTTTATTTTATAAAGAAAATAACATCCTGGGACAAAGTAGTCCTTGAGCAAAAAAGATAGTGACAAAATCATTAGAAATAATTATCATTCATTTTGCTAGGGCCAGTTGTCTCGGAGATACCAGGCTGAACCAACTGGGCATATGGGAATGTGTCCACTTGCTTGTTGAGTGAGAACCATCATCTAAATCAAAGGGGGCTTTTAGATTGATTCTAAGCCACCCCTTACTCTGTTTTTTTGGCTCTGACCCGGAAAACAGAATGAAAACCAGTTGGGCTTCTAGAATCTTAGGATATTTTATTGGCCTTATGTCGTGGAGGTAGATGACTTCCTCATGAGCTCGTTTCATATGCATAAGCTTTTGCCAAAGCCTGTATATTCTGGCTTTGGTGTTATAGTATCTTTCACTTTTCCTTTCATTATAGCCTGTAGACCACAGTCCGCTGTTACAGCATTCAAATGACTCTGCCTCCTATATTGAATGGTCTCAATTTTTCTGTAATATTTCTGAGGATATCCAGGATCAGAAGGCTCTGGGCATGCATGCTAATGTTTCTTCCAGGACCTTTCCTTGTATTCATCATTGCGACCCATTGTCTCAGGCTTGCTTATGTTATATTGAAAGTTTTTGCTATTTGGTATTTGGTTCTTTCCTAAGTCACCTTCTCCTGGTAACTGCTTTGGAACATGTCTCACCTGTGGAGTCTTCCTTTATTTGTTCCCCTCTTCGTTTATCTATTTAAAATGTTTTATTATGGAAGTTTTCAAAGAGTATAAATACTGAGAACGAGAATAGTATAGTGAATCCATGTACTTGTCACCCATCTTCAACAATTAACCCTCTACTGTTCTTATCACTTCCTTCCTACTGTTTGCTGTTGGTGTTTTATTTGTACTGCAGTATTTTAAATCAAATCATAGACATTTCATCTGTAAATATTTCTCTGTTATTTTTTCATATCTTTATTATACCCAACAAAATTAACAATAATTTATTGATATCCTCTGATTCTTAGCCTTCTGAATTTTTTTTCAGAAAGAATCTTTTTATGGTTGGTTGGTTTGAATTAGAATTCAAACAAAGCCTATACATTGCATTTGGTTAATAATTCTCTTTCTCTCTAATAGTCCTCCCCCTCTTTTTTTCAGTATGGCTGTCTATTTAAGGAATTGGGTTGTTTGTCTTATAGCATTTCCCACATTCTGATTTTGGTTGATTGACTCCTTTTGTTGTTTGATATATTTCTCTATCCACAGACTTCCTGAAAACTGGTAATTACGTTTAGAGGCTTGATTAGATTACCGTTTGTTTTTCCTCTTGGCAAGAATATTTTATAGGTGGTACTCTTGCTTCCTACTACATCTCATCAGGAGACACGTGATATTTGGTTGTTCTCCTCTTACTGATCTCAAGATTGACCAGTGGGTTATGTAAAAGTTTTGGCAACCATTACTGATCATGGCCTAGATCTGTTTTTTCATTAGGGCTTGCAAAACAGTGATACCTTATTCTCTTTTTCCTTCTGCTTTTATTAACTGTGATTCTTCTATAAAAGAAATACTTGCATTAACTATTGGGTTGCTCTGAAATAGTTCAGGAAAGTCATCCCCTTCTTTTTGTACCTAATACAAATTATTATCCTGATATACCAATCCACAACACTCAATGTTTTCTTTTTTTTTTTTTTTTTTTTTTTTT